TCCTCCTCCTCCTCCTCCTCCTCCTCCTCCTCCCCCTCCTCCTCCTCCTCCCGACTGTTCGATCTCGATCTTCTCGGGCTCTCGATGTCTATCGTTGTTATTTGCACATGTTTTGCGATGCACTTCGAGTTCGTTCTTGTACGTTTTTTTCCGCACTCTCGAGCGGGAAGTGTGCGCTCCGGCAGTTGCGCGGGCAGGTCGAAGGCCACCCGCGGCCCGAACGACCTCCGCCGCTGGGCAGTGGACCATCGGCCAGGGTCTACTGGCGCCAGCATCGCAGCGCGGACTTCACTCGGAAAACGGCAGGATGGGCCCGGAGTGTCCTGGAGAACTCCGCTCGGGATTTCGAGGTGAATGTCGTGCGGGTTCTTGTTCGGCCAGGAATGAGTGAATTGAAGGTCGCTGGGGGGGGCAGCGTTGTTTCCAGGGCCAGATCCCCGTACGCTCGGCGGGCGCGCTTGATCGGTCAACAGCAATCCTTACAGCCGCCCTTCGCGAGAAGCTCTGATGTCAGGTTTACTCTTGCCGACGATTGGGCTGCTCATGCTTGCTCTTGCCCTACAGAAGATTGCCCTCTCCCCCGTCGCCCCAGAAACACAAATCGCGTTCGCTGCCCCTCAGCGAGCTTCAAGGAATGAAGACCAAACAGAAATCCACGCGAAGTTCACGTTGTTTTTCGCTCGCCGTTTCGGGGTTTCGCATTCACAGGAATCCACGCAAAAATCCGCTGCAGCAGGTCGGTGCAGTGAAAGGTCTGAACCATCTGGGCGGTGTCGGAGACGGCTTCACTGAAATCGGGCGTGTCCCTCTACAGGAGGAAAATTCAAACATAGCTTCACAAACATATAGTCTGGGGACGACGTTTTGAGTGTTCGTGGTGTCTCTTTGAGTTGTTTTTCGGCTACCTCTCACTTTTCCTGCAAGATCCGCCTGTAGGAGGAGGCCTCGCCTCATGGGAAAGGAGGCGGGCCTGCAGGCGGCTGGCCCCACGATGCCCCGGCGAAGCTTCGGAGCACCTCGTGGAGGCTCGGGATCTGCTGGGGATGCTCCTCGGGATCTTAGCTGCCTTGATACGCCCGTTCGGATACGCAACACGTGCCGTGCTCAAAACTCGGAGGTGGACAGAACCCCCCAACAGTGACACGTCGATGGGTGAATTGTCCGTTTTCGGTTCTCGAGAGGGCGCCGTGGCCGTTATTTTCCAGGCCTGCGCCCGCCAGGTTCGGGGCTCAGGTCGTTTTCACTAAACCACGTTTTACTAAAGGGAGGTCTGTCCATCCCCGAAAAACGTCCGTGTCAATACGTTGCGTGTTGGCTCGGCGTGTCGGCCCACGTTCTGGCGAACGCATCGCGTCAGACCTGCGTGTTCACTCTTCGTGTTGAGAACCGTATCGCTGCGCTGCGTGTCGCGTGTTGCGTATCGGGGCAGCTAAGCCCAGAAGCTCTCCGCGTGCGCTCTCGCGCCTGGGAGCCCCATAAGAGCAGGGGCCTGGCCGCTCACCCGGAGGGGCCCCGTGCTCCGCACGGCCGCGTGGGCTGGCCAGGCGGAGGAGGAGGAGGAGGAGGAGGAGGAGGAGGAGGAGGAGGAGAGGAGGAGGAGAGAGCAGGAGGAGAGGAGGCAGGAGGAGGAGGAGGAGGAGGAGGGAGGAGAGGAGGAGGAGTAGGCAGGAGGAGGATGGGGGAGGAGGAGGGGGAGGAGGAGGAGGAAGGAGGAGGAGGAGGAGAGGAGGAGGAGGAGGAGGAGGAGGAGGAGCGCGGAAGGAGGAGGAGTGGAGGCAGAGGAGGAGGGAGAGGAGTAGGAGGGGAAGAGAGGAGTAGGGGGAGAGGAGGATGAGGCGGAGAGAGAGGAGGAGGAGGGAGGAGAGGAGGAGGGGGAGGATGAGGAGGAGGAGGAGGAGAATGAGGAGGAGGAGAGGAGAGGAGGAGGCCGGAAGAGGAGGAGGCGGATCAGGGAGGAGGGAGGAGGAGGAGGGAGTGAGGACCGCGGAGGTAGAGGAGGAGGAGGAGAAGCGAAGAGGAGGAGGGAGCAGGAGGAGAAGAGGAGGAGGAGGCGGGAGGAGGAGGAGGAGGAGGGAGGAGGAGCGGAGGAGGATGAGGAGGAGAAGGGAAGGAGGAGAGGAGGAGGGAGGGGGAGGGGGAGGGGGAAGGGGAGGAGGAGGAGGAGGAGGAGGAGGAGGAGGAGGAGGAGGAAGAGGAGGAGGAGGAGTGAGGAGGAGGAGGTAGGAAGAGGAGGCGGAGGAGGAGGCGGAGGAGGAGGCGGAGGAGGAGGAAGGAGGAGGAGGAGGAGGAGGAGTGAGGAAGCGGAAGAGGAGGAGGCGGACAGAGGAGGAAGGAGGAGGAGGAGGAGGAGGAGGAGGAGGAGGAGGAGGAGGAGGAGGAGGGAGGAGGAGGAGGAGGGGAGGGGGAGGGGGAGAGGAGGAGGAGGAGGGAGGAGGAGGAGGTAGGAGGAGGAGGAGGAGGAGGGAGGAGGAGGAGGCGGAGAGGAGAAGGAGTGAGGCAGGGCGGAGGGGAGGGAGGAGGAGGAGGCGGAGGAGGAGGAGGAGGAGGAGGAGGCGGAGGAGGGGGAGGGGAGGAGGAGGAGGAGGAGGAGAAGGGGAGAGGGAGGGGCCCCAAAGTCTGCTGCGTGCGGTTGCCTCCTGGCCATCGCCACGCAGCGCCCTCCAGGGAGGGCCTCGCCTCTCGGCGCGTCGTCTCGCCTTCGGGCGGACAAACCTGGGGGGAGCCCGCGGAAGTGAGGCGGCGGCGGCTCTGCTGGCGGAAGCTCGGCGGAAGCAGACGTCGGGTGTAGCCAGGACCCCAGGTGAGGGGGCCCGCTTAGTAGAATCGGGCCGGACGACAGGGGGGGGGGGATAGGGGGGGGGGGGGTACGAAATTTGGTGCATGCAGCCGGTTTCGGCCTCGCCGAGGGGCCCATTCCTCGATACATGGCTCCCTCCGGCGCCAGGAGGCGCCGGGAAAATCAGCTACGTGAGCTGATTCTCAAACCCCGCCTTTGCTGTCGCCCCCTGTCGCCCGACCCGATAGTAGGGCCCCAGCGCCCCCAACTTGGCCAGAATCACTGAGCCAGGTCTGCCGTAGCTCGTGTTTTTTTCGGGCGACGGCAGTTCCAGTTGGTGTAACGGGGCGGGGGGTGCATCCCCCAGTGCACATCACTGAACCAGGGACCCACTAAACCCACTTCTGCCAACGCCCGAAAAAAGTCAAGAAGAAAAAGACGCCATAGACCTAAACTTTTGGTGCTTCGCGCGGATTTCTCGGATCCGCGCTGCCCCCCTCCGGCGCCGCCCCTGGCGCGCTCCGGGGTGTCCAGCGCAGATCCAAGAGATCCGCGCGGAGCGCCGATGAATCATGTTTATGGCGGTTTTGTTTGTCTTCTTCTACAACGCAAGTCGAATTTTGGTGATGGTCTCGGTGAAGTTGGACTCGGCCACCTTGCACTTTCCTTGATGCGTGGGCGCCCTTGCCCCTCCCCCCCGTGGCCCCTTCCCCGCAGAGGTCCGAGGATCGAGTCCGGGTGTGCGAACAGCGAAGAGCCGGCTGGCATCAGAGACTTTCGGAGGCCCGCTCGGATGCCGTGGGTCGGCGCTGCCCCCTGCCTGGCGCGCGGAGCGCACGACTAGGCAGACCTAAACCGCGAGCAGAGGCGAAGCGTCCTGGTTTGCTCACAGGCCGACCAAAGACGGTTCCACGAACCTTCCGTGGTCTGCACGACATGTTATTAGGACACGTCTGGCTGAGACTGCTTTTGTTTGTACACATCGGGTTGATGGTCTAAGAACACTGTTGTTGATCTTCGAACATGTTTGGGTCCTTCGTGGTAGGCCTGTAGGACTGCCAGGACGGTCGGTCCCTGCTCCCAAGTCGCTCCAGAGCGATCTGGAACGCCCTCAGATCGAGCCAGGCATCTCTGCAACGGCCGCGACGCCCGATGCCCCCTCCAGGCCCGCCTGCCCTCACAGATCCGATGTATCTTATCATCCAGATGTGTCCTCATCCTGCGCTTCCCCCCTCCTCTCCCTCGCGCGGCCGCCCTCGTCTTTGTTCCTTCCCTTTGCACGCTGCGGTGGCTTCGATGAGCCTCGCGTTGGTGCGGACTGCCTCTGCCTCGCCGCCGGCGGCAACAAGTACCCTCATCCTGTCCTCGGCTTTTTTCGACCCCACCCCAGGGTCGTCTGTTGGTCATGGTCAGCCACGCGCAGAGGGGGGTGGGGGAGGGGGGAGAGCTTCTTGGAAGCACCCCTGCTTCTTAGAAGGTGCGGGCCTTATCTATAGATGTAAGGCTGGCGCCGTCTAAGAAGCAGCCTCCTTCTAAGAAGCCCTCCCCCCTCCCTCCACCCCCCTGGTGCGCACCGCCAAGCTGGGGCGCGAGCGCGCCCCCCCGAGGCAGAGATCTCGTGTGGGCGACTGGGGGCGCGGCAGAGGGGGCCACCGCATCGGTGAGGCATTGTGGTGCAACGCGCAGGCGCTGCGTGGCAACCTGGAGATCCTGCGCCGTTGCGCGCTGCAGCACGGAGGCGTTGCCATTGCAACACGGAGGCGGCGCATGCAGAGCAGAGCGAGCCTTTTTGCAGCACGGCCACACGCGCGGGGACGCTGCACTCTCGCAAGGCGGAGACGTTCCTTTGCAGCGTGGAGGCGGTGACCCGTTGCGTTGCCACGTGGGGGGCGTCCTGTCACCGCGGCAGTGACCCCCCGCCCCCGTGGCCCCCACCCCGCGCGCCTGCGAAGAGATCGGGGGGGAGAGCCCGCGGCCTCAAAAATCTCTCGCCGGAGGTCCGGGCTCCGGGCCCCCTCCGCGGAGGGGATGATCTGTCCGGAGCCACCGCCCGTGGGATCGATCTCTGGCGACCTCGGACGTCGACTCCCCGGGCAGGGGATATGAATGACTCCCCGCCTCGTGCGATGCCCCCTCCGAGGAGGACACCTCCAGGGGCCAGGACGACGAGGAGTACCACGACTACAAGGACGGCGGCGGCCCCAGGGGCGGCGACGGCTACAAGGGCGGCGGCAAGGGCGGGGGCAAGAGCTGGGGCTCGGGGAAGGGCTACGAGGACCCGCCGCAGGTGGACCCCAACAGGTCCGTCTTCTTCAGGAACGTCCCCTTCGAGACCACGGAGAAGTTCCTGAGAGACAG